ATAATAGCTTCACAGCCGTCGATTCCTTGTACCAGTTCTGAAATATGTCGCTGATAAACTTCAGATGCTGACTTAATGCCGAATGGGAGTCGAGTAAAGCTATACCTCCCGAATGGGGAATTGAATGTACACAACTTGCTACTGGCTGCATCTAGGCGAATCTGCCAAAATCCTGAAGTAACGTCAAGTTTTGTAAACACTGTGGCTCCCTCTATCTCTGTGAGAACATCCTCTATAGTCTTTAACGGGAAATGTTCCCTAAGAATTGCTTTATTTAAGTCTCTGGGATCAATACAAATACTGGCTTTGCCATTAGCTTTTGTCATTGTCACCATATAGTTTACCCATGGAGTTGGTTCCTGTTGTTTGATGACAACACCTTCACGTTCCATGCGGTCTATTTCCTGTTTGACTTTTTCCTTAAGGAGGCTCATTACACCATTTTTTGATGACGTACTACACAAAAAAATAAACCTCCATTGTTTCGACCGAATTACTTTGGGGTCGAATCGTATGGGTACCTCACTTATATGACCCTGACCTTTAAAACGCTTTAAAAATAGATGAAACATGCGGTGTTCTAAACAGTGAAAACAAAGTAATGGATTCATTTTACATACACCAAGAGGGATTACTTTTTAGCAGAAACAAAAGAAAACAACAGCCAAATCTTCGCCAAACAAGTAATGTGCAATTTCTGACATGTCGAAGCAGTGGGCTCTATCAATCAACGTGTTTGCATGGAGGAAATTCGAGTTTAAATCTACAACCTTGTTGAATTTAAAAATGTTATTTACTTGCACAATTTACTGTGTTGGTGTTAATTTGTACATTTTCTTTATTAATTTAAATATATATATTATGGAAGTGTAAAGCTTTCTTTTGAAATTTAGATGTAATGTTCAAACGTTCCTTTGTGTTTTGAGTCTTGGGTAATTAGGAAAGATAACTCTTGAAAAAGGACATTTTATACCAAATATTTTCGAAATTGGAATTTTCATTTCGTTAAAACATTTTTCTTTCAATTTGTCACAAGCAATTCATTGAATTACATTCCTTGTCTCTTCAGAACTCATTTTTAAAATATTTTATGCGCAGATTAAAAAGATAATGACATTTATTGTTTTGTAGAAGAAAACTATTTTTTCTAATAAAATTAATATTAGGTATTATGAAGTATTTTCATTGTGTGTACTTTTCTAAAGAAGATGTCCATCATTTGACACTGAAAGTTCTGAAATTCTGGAAATAATAAACTTGAAATAAAACATTTGACTAAAATAAAAAGAAAGTTAAAAAATTCTCTAAAAAATATTTACAATATCAATATCTCCATTTGGATATTTGGCATCTACATGATAAGTGGTGCTGTCATGAAATCTAAAATAAACTGTGGATGTAATGAGCCACCTTAAGGGCAAGTGGTACTTTTCTTGGTGGATGTATGATGGGCTGAACATTAGGATCTATCTTGATTGAATGTTCCCCTGGCAGGCATCCAAAACACATCCCCGTATTTCTTCTGAATGTCCTTTGGAATGTTTTTAAATGTCACACTTCCTATGTCTAACATTTCCTGTTTCACTCTGTTGACCGACATCCGCTGAATCAGATTTAGCGTTTCACATGCCTTTGCACCAACTATCGGTTTTGCGTTTATGTCAACAACCAAAAACTCAATTTTCTGAACTCTGTCATTCACTTGGCACTGGAGTGTTATTACACCTTTTGGTACAATTCTGTGTCCTGAATAAGATTTCAGAGTGTTTCTTGTACTTCTGAGTTTATGGTGTACGTCAATTTTGTTCAGTGTGCTGTACGGCATAACATTACACATTGCACCTGTGTCGAGCTGGAATTTCACTGGTTTATCATTTACGAAAATAGTCTGTGTCCACTCTAGATCTTCGTGGTCTACAGAATTCACTTGCGATTCCATCTGAATGCTCCCAGCATAATATTCCTCTCCTTCGTCACTTGAATACTCATTGTCGACAACATAAACAGTCTTCTTAGTCCTACACATTTTTTTGAAATGACTTGGCTTCTTGCACAATCCACACGTTTTTCCTTTGGCTGGATACGAGTCTTTTCCATGCTTGTATCCACAGCGTGTACACATTTTCTGATCATCACTATGTTTTCTTGGTTTGGTTTCACTGAAGTTTTGTCTCTTTCCAGTGTCATTACTCTGAGAGTGTTTGGATGACTTCTTATAAGATTTCTTTATCAAGTTTACCTAGGAATGCTCTCCAGAATTGTGTGCCATTGACTTTGCTTGTGAAGTTGACATTTCATGCAGACGAGCGATTTCCTGTGCCTTCTCTAGCGTAAGGTCACTAACTACATTGATCAGTTTTTCACGTATTTTTGTGTTGTTAATGCCAATCACGATTCTGTCTCTGACCATATTGTCGGGTTCCTGGTAGTTACACTCTTTCACTAACAGTTTCAAATCAGTTACAAATTGGTCAAGAGTTTCTCCTTCTGTCTGAGTTCTGCTATGGAACTTGTATCTGTTGTAAATAATGTTGGTTCTGGGCTTGACATAAGCTTCGAATTTATCAAAGTGTACCTTTAGTGTCTTTCGTTCCTCTTCGTTTAGATTCCACGTGGAATATATGTCACGTCCTTTCTGGCCAACCCAGATCATCTGATATGCGCACTTTTCGTCCTCAGTTTTCTTTTTTAGGGATCCCGAGAATGCGAAGTTCACGTGCTGCAAAAATGATTTCAAATGGCCTTCTAAATCATCACTTGTCCAGTCCATGGCTGGTGTTGATCCTGATAACAAATCCATCACTCCTTTTTGTCTGTTTTACGGACAGGATAATTGTCGATGGCTTGTATTTATGAGAATGTTATCAGATTACTTCTGACACCATGTTGTATATCATGATACTAAGACGCCATATTAATTGGAACTCTTTTATTACGAAGATACAAAAGTAACAATCAAGTCGTACATCAAATGATTCATAAAAGACAACATGTACTTTTTAAGTATTTGGTCAAGTGTCATGTTCCTGGTCAAGGCCCTTTTAATTTGATTTCGACTGAGAGAAGTTACTCTCCTATGCCATTCACTTTTGATAATTAATCATTGTAAATAATGATTTAAAAGGTTAATGGAATAAGGGATTTTTGCAAGATTTTTATTGTATAGGCAATTTAAGCTTTCATGATGAGATAGACTTTTAAATACAATGTAAAAGATAAATAAAAATTGACAAAATTACCTTATATTTTTAAGTGTACTTCGAAGACCCAGATATGCCATTGAGGGAGGTTACAAAATGGGGTTAAAACTAATATAAGTCATTATAATGGTTTGTTTATATATTCTGCATGGTGATAGTGATACAGTAGGGGGACAAAAGTCTTGAGAAAAAAAAATGGCGTCACGTTCCAAAGCAAGAGGGACAACTCGGACAAAAAAAACGCTTTGACAGCTCATTTGCCCAAAGTGAATAAAACAACATACCTCAGTATTTAGTTAAGTGTCCCTTTATTCAGATGACTTGCTGTATTCTTCGGGGTATGGATTCAAACAGATTTCTGACGTAGGTAAAGTTTATATCCCGCCATATTTGCAGTGTGTGTTGAAAAAGTTCGTCCGGGGAATTGATCATTTGTATTCGTGATTGAAGTTTTCTTTTTATAAATAACCAAATATTTTCAATAATATTTATGTCCGGAGACTGTGCAGGCCAGCTCATGTTCTTAATTCTATTTCTGGCGACAAATTCCTGAGTCAAACGGGACCGATGTACTGGAGCGTTGTCATCTTGGAAAAGATAATTCCCATCTGGGAGATGGCGAGCTATAACAGGCCAAAAGTTAGTGTCCAAAATATCAATGTACTTCTCTGAATTTATGTTTCCTTCAACTCGACACAATGTCCCAAAACCGTTAAAACAGAGGCATCCCCAAATCATAATGCTGAACTTGCGACCATTTTGTCTCGTCGCTAAGTCGGGTCTCCAACCCTCTCCGGCTTTTTTCCACACATACACACGGTTATTTACGCCTACACATATTTGAGATTCGTCAATAAAAATCACTTTTGACCACTAGTTTCTTACAGTCCACCATCTTTTCTCTCTGCACCACGACAAGCGCTTCCTTCTGTTGACAGTTTTGATGACAACTTTTTTCCTGTATACACCTCTGTAGAATCCGTTTTCCTTCAATCGTCGTTTGATAGTCTTTGTAGACACGGGTGTTGGTCTGTTTTCATTGAATCGTGATGTAATTTCTCCTAGGGGAGCGAGGCGATCCCTGTTCACGATCCTCTGCAGCCTCCGAAATTCTCAATCGCCAATCGAACGGGGTCTGCCTGATCTCGGGCGGTTTTCGAGCGATCCGGTTGTTTGAAACTTACCAATAACTCGGTAAACTGAAGCTAAATATCGGTTGACGCTTCGTGCAATGTCTGACACTTTCTCTCCATTCAAATAAAGTTCTACAATTACTTCTTTCATAGGTAGTGAAATTTCTTAACGTTTAGCCTCCATTTTGTTTACATCGATAGAAAGACAAAATAACCTTGAGCAGACGAATAAAAATACGTCATAGACACGTGACACATAGTAACCTATTTATACTTAATGGGGATTTCCAAAGTTTAAAACTCCTGCGGTGTAAACATATTTTATTGCACAAGATTCTTTATTTTACAGTGACGCCATTTTTATTCTCAAGACTTTTGTCCCCCTACTGTACATTGCGGCCAAATTAGAGCTTAATTTATGAGTTGCTACTGAATATTTAACTATTTTTTTCGCTGCTCCTGATAATTCTAGTTCTCTTGCTTCTAGGCGCTGAAGCTTCGTCTATCAATTAACTATATATTCTATGGATCCTTTAGGCCTACACTCGTATTGTAATAAGTTCTGCAACTATATTCAAATAGGGCTTTCACTTTAAAGTGTATTAATATACTTATGTGACCTTTTAGACAATTGCTCTTCTTGCTATTAATCAATATTCATATTCAGGTTTAGACTTTGTGTGTGGCCACTCCAGAGCTTACTTACTCTTCACCGAATCCATCGACTCGGATCAAAAGTTTTGTGCTACGCAATGTTTGGATGTTGAGAAATGCACAAAAGGGGAGATAATCACGCCAATACAAACAGAACAACTAGAAAAACGCACACAATGCATGGTATCGAACAAGATGGGATTTTATGCTACATTCTTGGATGAACCTTCCCCCTCTGGTCACAAGAAGGAAAGCATAATGTATTATCTTACAACAAACAATGCGTCACCCTTTGGCACACGATCTACATGTAATCCCTGTCCGTAATAAAGATCAACATTTTCTGAATTGGAGCCTTAAATGGCCCATACAATATATACTTCTTTTCAATTTTTTTTTCGTATGCATGATTTGAAATATTCACTGTATAGACTAACATGTATCTATTCGTTTACTACCATGATTGTTTTGATACTCTATCGTATATATTAAAAATTACATATTATTTTAATTTCAAATCAATCTACTTTTTTTCAGTGGTGGGTTTAACATTTTCGATACTTTGCTTATATGATTTTATGTTAACTATCAAAAGGTAACCTATACACTTAAGGGGACCATCTATAGTTTCCATCGCGCAATATTGCGCACATCATAGTAAAATGAAGCGTATTTACTGTTTTAATGCAACTTTTTTTCGCTTTATAATTAAAATTTAACAAAATTAAGAAATTATAGGTATTAAAATGATATTACAATTTGATGTTACTGATATTTTAACAGATTTTGCAATAGGTAGGTTGACTTCGTTGCAGTGTGTTTTTGACGTCATGATAATCTGTAGCTCTTAAAGAAAGGGGTATAAAAGTATTATTTAAGAAAAAGAAATAAACATGCACTCTTGAAATTTAAGACATAGAAATTTGAGAATATCTCCAATATTTTTAGTATTTTTTCATGTGAATCAATTGTGTGCGTCATATTTTGTAATACTCTATAAAATTAGTAAAATTTGCTAATTTTTTGTAATTTGAGATGCCCCCTCTGGTAACAAGACGTAGAATTTAGTATTTCTTACATATAATGTACAATATAGTATAACTCATCAAATATTGTAGTTTAAACAAAATGTCTATAGGAGCATTTGTATAATTTGCTTTAAAGTGCTAAAAATTGGCATTTTCCTATTTAATCCTTAAGTAAATGTACCTGAATTTTGAGACAGTCCCTCAAAAATACCTGGACGGTTGATTTCCTCCAAAAATTGCATGTACACTGAAGTTAATGTAAGTTATATATGGTATAAAAATGAAGAATTTCGATATTGTAGTTTTCACACAATAAAACTATAGTCGGCCCCCTTAACAAAACTTCAAAGTGTTCACTGTAATAAATTTTTACACTATTTTACAGTGATTTTATATTTTCAAATTATTACAACAAATGAATCTTCTAAATAAATGCAAAAAGAAAGTCAAATATCATTTATCAGTTCTTTTGACAAGATATTGTAGCCCCACTCCATCCCAGGGATCATGATTTTAAGAAACTTAACATCAGTTCTCTGTAAGGACCAAAATTTTACTGTAGGGCTGTTGCACACACCATGAGCAATTTCCATGAAACTTTTTCAGGTAATTAATATAATGCCCTTGCAGTATGGCATAATCAACATTCAAAATTCAGGTTACTTCCGTGGTTGCCATGGACTAAAATAGATGTTGGCCCCATGTATGACGATAGATTTGATTTATTAAAGTTTTGACGGGAGGAAAGAACAAGAGCCACGAAGCATCAAAATCCGCACCGTATTCAAAATTTATGAATTTTTGCTAAATGATAGTCTAGTATGTGTACGTTGTAAAACAGTTTATTTTTTAACAATATCTTTTATAGTTTTCTTTTTACAGGCGTTTTAAATAAGCATTGTTTTTTCGAATGTAATACTATGACGTCATGACGTTGACATTAAACACGTTAAAATCAAAACGTTGAAATTATTTATAAGAGGTAAAAGCTTTACAGTAATGGAAAGTAATACACAAGAGTAGGATTAGAATAAATATTGAATTTTTTTCTCGAGTGTTTTAGGGGTGGTGAGGTGTGGGTGGTGTTGTTTTTGTTAAGAAAAAAGAAAGTGCACATGTACTAAGCTGAATTTTCAGCAATTGTTTAGATGATGTCATTTTTCATTTTAAATTATTTTTCTTAAATAAAATAAATTACCCGAGATATTCAGGACTTTATTCCGCTCAGTATTTTCCTACGGTGAGAAACAAATTCCAAAAATAGTTAATATATATAAAGGGAAAAAGCAATGAAAAAAGTTTCACCCAAGAATACATATAGAATACATATACAAACATTAAATTAAATAAATCAGTTTGAAAAGTGGATAAAGTTTGAAGATGTCATTTATCAGGTCATCAATTTGAATGCACTTAAAGAATGTTTCCACTTACGCATAGTGCCGTGGCCCCTTTTTCGGACCCCTCTAACTTTATCTAATTAACTCAAATGTTAATTATTTTACACCTAACTCATACTTTGTTATCTTTGTGGTATATTACTTGCAAAAATTCACACTGAAAACGGCGTCTTAGTTTTATAAATGGTAATTTAAAAAGCCATATACATCGTGTTAATTCCGGAATGTTGCGCTTGTCGAGTTGGGTTTTAATTGTGTCACATTAATATTCAGTGTAGGCGGAGCATTTCATTGATCGATTGAAAACATGTAATATTTAGCCAGTTATAATGGCTTTTGAATACAAAATACAAACTGTATGTACAGAAAAATAAACAAAAAGAATTTTTCAAGGATTACGACACTTTTTTTTAAAGAAAGATGGTACTGGGGGAGGATCTTTGAAATGTATATGATCCCTATAAATCCAGATCCCCCGTCTTGTGGTCGTTTCTCGGTGGAAATTTAACACTATATTAAATAAACCGAGCCTACTTGTATATGAAAACGGGGAAAATCATATTTAAGAAAAACTTCTATATTTTTTAAATGGTTAGTGCCGTATTGCAATTTTAAACATCTCTCTCTCTCTCTCTCTCTCTCTCTCTCTCTCTCTCTCGCTCTCTCTCTTCGTACTTTTTAAAGTACAGTAAATACCCCGTACTTCTCACAAGTTAAGCAAGATTCCAGTCGATCAAGCATACACTACTAAGAAATACGTGCAAACTTGGGAATTCTCTATCTTACTATAGTCGACTTAAAAAGAAAATTTTTTTACAGATTAGTACGACGGCGTATTCGTGCCATATTGACATTGTAAAGAAAATTTTTGAAAATCGGTGAACGATTTAGAAATCGGTTGTACTATTTGTTAAATCGTTTGTACGATTGTTAAAAATCGGTTGTACTATTTGTTAAATCGTTTGTACGATTGTTAAAAATCGTTTGTACGATTTAGAAAATCGTTTGAACGATGTAGACGTTTGTACGATTTAGAAAATCGTTTGAACAATTTGGAAAATCGTTTGAACAATTTGGAAAATCGTTTGAACAATTTTGAAAATCGTTTGAACAATTTGGAAAATCCTTTGTACGATTTTTTTCTTCTAATTCGGAACAGAAGCGTACTGGATAAGAAACCTGGTAAAGCTATTGTATGGAGAAGTCCCTTCACTGCTGACTTACACATATACAGAAACACTTATTGTACCTTGCTAATTACCAAACAGATTGATAGGGTGAACAGACCCAAAGCCATACACATGTATGAGTCCGAGGGAGGGAGACCCTTATCCTAATATTGTTCGAGGTTTTATTTGGGTTGTGGTATAAATTTTGACACATATAACTCTTTTGATTTCGTATACATATATAATTATGAATATTATTCCGAATATGTGCACCTTTGATAATTAAGCATGTACGTGCTTAGCTGCAGATCTGCAGCTCTCCGAAAAAAAAAATTGATAGACGTAAGACCGGTCTATTAATATACATGTATTTTTTTCGGAGAGCAACAGATCTGCAGCTACTACGTGCTTGAGTTTTGTTTTGCATCAATTCATTTATATGCAATTCATTTATTAAATGTGTCATAAAAATAAAAGAATTGGTTTTGAAGAATAAGAGTTTTTTTTGCCAACCTTACCCCTCTTATTTCAAAAGACCTGTTGCTAAAATTGAGTGCAAGAATTCATCTCAAGAAGATACAGAGACTATTTGTTTTAAATCATATAACTTAGAAATGATTAATATAATACGAGAAAAAAATTGAATATGCACACTCATGATAGTACCATTTTTCCATGTCCTAATGCGTTTACGATTGCCTCTCGTAAATTATATATATATGTAGAATTGATTATATGTGTTCGTTAATTTATTAAATAAAAAACAAAATAACACTTTTTGATATAACCTATTAAATCTGAAGTCCCCCACCATAAATTGGCGCATAAACATGTACAGAAGGTTCAATAATTTGTCACATATCATGAGGTCAAGGTTCTTGAAATCTTTTCAACTATAGAGGAATGTAAAAGACATCCTTAGTAATTTTTAACACGCTAATTGGTAGGCTCCTACTTTTTACTTTAGCCAATTTATAATACCAGTATTTGTAATGTTGACGATGCAGATGTCATGAAATTATCTGCGTTTTTAATCGCTATTTAATTTCAATTGATTTATTGGACCTTTCTGCTGGTAGTTATATCCGTTGTAGGCTATTTCACGAGTAATCTCCCTTTGATTACATGGTGACCATGGCGACGAGGCGTTGCGATAGAGTTGTAAACATTAATACAAAAAGAGTATACATTATTAAAAAAAATATTATTAATATAAAAAAATTGAATCTAAGTCAGCTATGTTAAGAAAAAGTCTTGGGTCAGATCCACGGTACGGGTTCAGTGGAAGTTAACAATAGGCCTATAACATGCCGTAATATTTTGTAAAGCACATGGTTTTCGTTTTCCTTTTTCGTACCAAAACACAAAATCCAATATATTTCAAACTAGACAATTCATGTTGATACATTTTTAAAGTAGAAAGCACACAAAAAAATTATTTTTGATATCATGAGATATTCCCGAAAATCCGCTGTGGTGGTCGGTTTTCAGAGGTTTGATATGGAAAGAAAAGTTAGTTTTTCAATGTGGCCACACGTGACAAACAAAATAAAAATATGCCCTGTGTATTTACTTTTTAATCTTCTTTTTAATGACATAAATTTTATTTTGTTTGTAGGGTGTGGCCAAGGTCAAATTTTGAGTTAAATATGTAAAAAATGGTCGATTTTGTTAAAAATCGGCAAAGTGCACGTGTTTAGACGTTTAATGTACAAATATGACGTCATCAATTGAAAAATGTGACGTTAACCCTTTTAAGTTCAAGAGTAGTAGATAATATATTCACCATTATTTTTCTCTTTCACCTCTGTTAAAATTTCGTAAAAAATGTAGGCCGATTTTGCACCTTCGTGGC